GACAGGATTAAGGCTTCAACAATGGAAGTGTTAAGAGAAAGCAACATGCAAGATTTACAGGCACAGATGCGGTTTTTTGCATTAAATTGAACATAATTTTAGACCCATCTAAAAATTTTCTTATTAGTCTGGAAACAGGGGAACCTAATTCTCGCATTCTGTGAAAACAGGTAAGATTGGCTATAATGTAATAATCTTAATCTTTGCTATCATTACTTTTTGCCCTAGCAACACTGAACTTATCTGCTAGTTTACTTTATATATATTGTTTCTGTTAAAATGCACATTAGATAAAACAAACTTTTAAAAAATCTATAGAAAAAAAAACATCATTCAACAAGCTACATAACTGAATTTTTTCTATTGTGGGGCTCACTGGATTTGGAGTAAATATTCTATGAACAATAAAAAATATAAATTTTGAAGTATTCTAATTTTTATTTCTTCAATGGTATATTTAATGTAAACATATTAAATTCTCTACTAATAAATATTAATATTTTTATACAAAAAATTTAATTTCAATAAATTATAATATTAGAAAACAGACTAAATAATACATATCACTTTCTACTTACTCTGTCTAGAACCAGGAGAAAATCCAGAATTGGCATTTGGTGTAGGAGTTGAATTTCCAGATATTCCTTTAGCCTTTAATTTTGCTTCCTGATGTGCCTTTCTTAGATCTTCTATTATTTTTTCCAATTTTTCAGGATCAGCCTACAGAAATATAACAAAGGTAAATTATCTTTTAAATTACAGGATACAAGACACAAGAAAATATAAATTAATAATAAAATATACCTTTTTTCTTGCATACAAATGCAATATTGTACTACAGATATCCTGAATATTATTCTCTGTGACGTTGAAGATCAGATACCATGGTGGTTTATTAGGTAGAGGAATCTATATTTAAAAATAACAGTACTTAATTTCAATCATAATTAATATACCATATTTACCTATGTTTTCCGTTTTTCTTTCTTGTAATTCATAAGACATAAACATTGATCTTTATACATTTTACAATTGAATACAAAACTAAACATACTTTGTATATGTTCTATTCTAGTTTTCATTCTTGTTTCTATTTTAAACTTAAAAATATTATGTTTTATTGAAGTTACTTTAAAACAATCCAAAGCTCTATATATATATATANAATTTCATCAACTACCATTAATTTATCATTTAAGAGATAAAAATCATAATTTTGCTTACCATTCTTTTTCCTTTTTGAAATATGTATAAGGATATATGTTTTATTTGGATTAATCTTCATTTCTGTATTAGAAATAAAATTAACTGAAAATGAAATTCAAATATATAGAAAGGACTTGCCAATAATTCAAGAAAAGCTTGAAATTAATTAAGAAACGTTAAAAATAATTGATTAATTATTTATTATACTGATCAATAACTTAACAATAATTAAAATACACTTGGAAAGAAAACATGAGACAATTTAATACAGATTAGTGTAACTTGAGAAATATTATATTCACATATTTTGAAAAGTATTTAAGTTATTTTACTAAGTAATAAATAAAAATATCTGTGAAAAATTTCACAGATCACAAGAAGAAGTGTGCTAATTTTCGTTAGAATTGGTTAAACTGCTTTTGCTAAAGTTTGGACAAACAATATGAAATTTTTCTTTATGTATAAAGATTCCTAAGATAACCATTTAGAGCTTACAAATGTAAAGTTTTTGCCTTTCAATAATACATTTATTAATTTCTGATTCATAGCCATTCTAAAGTTGGCCACTGATCTGTTCCTTGATTAAAAAAACTTTATTGAATGCTATATTTTTCTGACTGAGAAAATATCTTTAGAAATTGGTTTTTCAAATGCAAATATAAATATACAGTATGTACAGTACACTACTCAAAAGTAAAATTGCAACACCATGATGGAATGCACATTGCAGGACTAATAGAGATGATGGAGATATGCAAATGATTAAAAGAAAATGGATATGCAACAGAGACCTGTTTATTCACTAATGAATATGGTTTCCATGGGCAGTTATACAGGCTGCTATATGGCAAGTCATTCTTTCAATAAGGCGATTAATGTTTGCCTGAGATATTCCTTGCCAAGCTGTGTCCACTGAGGCATGCTTGTCATCTATAGTATGTGGTAATGGTTCCTGGTGCACTTCACATCATACGAGGTCACACTGGTGTTTGATGGGAGAGAGATCCACCGAGGCTGCTGGCCAGGGAAGGATGTGAATTCCATTCAAGCTGGTGAGAGTTTGCCATATGACACACAGTTGGGCATTGTCTTACTGGTACAGTGTGTCAGGTGTGGCCTGCACCAGTGGCCAAACCACAGGCCCCACAATTTGTGTGATGTACTGGTTGGCTGTCAGAATACTGAAATTTGCTGTTTGAACATGATGTCTGGTGTGATGCTCAGTGAAAAGGACTGGCACATAGCATTTCCTGGGATACTACCACATCTGTCCATGGCTGTCAGTCCTCCATAGACAGGTATCAACGTACTGCAAAACACATAAATGGCAAATTTCACATCAATTGTAAGAAAGAAAATAGAAACAGAAACAAAAAACATGGTTTAATAAAGTAAAAATTACATTACAGTTGGATACTAGTCCTATCTTCATTGCTTGCCATGTCCAATCACCAGAAACAACTATTTTCCATTGCAGAGAGAACCTTTCTTTACAGGCTATGCCTCTGCACAAATAATTTGTTTGTAAAAAGGGCTGGCAGAATTACAATTTAATAAAAAGTAAAAATACATTACAGATGGATACTAGTCCACTTTTCACTGCTTGCCATGTCCAATCACCAGGAACAACTATTTCTATTGCAGAGACAACCTTTCTTTAAAGACTATGCCTCTGCACACTAAATAATTTGCTACTAGAGGTAGACACTACCTCTTATCTAAATTAATAATTATCATTTTAAATAATTTATTAAATAATTTAGAATCATCTGGAAGAAAAGAATTGCCCTGGGGTGTAGCCAGTTCTTTTGTTCCAGATGGCTTTGAGTTGTTTAATATAACTTATGTATATACATACACCCCTCAATGGGTAAAACGTTAGCTAGCTGAGTGCTATTATGAAGATATACTTAGGCCGTGGGCATAGGAGTCGTCCTCAGCCAGCGTAAGGTTATATCTAAATAAATCTGGAAGCAAGAGCTTGCTTGGGGTCTGGGTAGTGCAACTGGCAAATGCACTGCCTGGCAAGCAGAGATTGCAGGTTCAAACCTCACCCCAGCCCATTTCTTTTCTTCCAGATAATTCTAAATTATTTAGAATTATAATTATTAATTTAGATAAAAGGTGGTGTCTAATGTCTATCTCTAGTGGCAAATATGTAGTATTAATTATTAAAATTAGCAGATTTATAGCCAGAGTATTTCAGGCAATAGTTTGTCTATGTATCTAAATTAATGTTTTAATAACATAACCTTAGATTCACACTAAAATAATTTAATTTAACGTTATAAAAAATGTTTAATTAATATCTATAAATCTATCTATAAATGGGATAAATGAAAATAATTAATAAAGTCATTTTTAATGTATCTATTTGCATATTATATATATAAATAAATTTAAATACTTTTTTTGATCATTAACAATATTCACAAGATGTTTTTACCAAAGTGTGAAACAGAATTCATAATTTGAAATGAACTTAAGGATATTTCAATCTTCAAAATATACAAAGGTGGATTAAATAACATACAAGCCTTCAGCTCAGCTTTACTAAGGATCCCTTTCACCTTAATCTTGCCCCCTATTCCACCATTATTGAACAGAATAAACTAATATTATGTCATGTTAAATAAAATATCAATTAAATTGTTTTTTTTTTGTTTTTTTTGCTCTTGGGCCCTTTCGGCACCTAGGCTTAAGCCTGATAGTTAATCTGCCACTAACAATGTATGGCAGCTAATAGTAATATATCATAGATCTTATTACATTATAAATATACAGGAAAATAATCAAAATGATAAAGTTGAATTCATTATTGAACTATAATTTGGCTATTTAAATACAGACACTATGTAATTTCGACTAAAGATAAATTAAGATACTTTCAAAGTTATATTATAATTATATACAAAATGACTGATAATAAGAAGTTATTAAACATAGCTTCTAAAACTCACTTTAAGTGATACATTAATGTATTCAGAATGAAAAATAAAATGACACTTTATTGAAAGAAAAACCACACTTGATGCAAACCATTTAACTGTGTATACTATGCAGAGAAATACAACACAGTTGAAAGTTTGTTTGTAAACTTTTGGACATATTTTATTAAAAATATTTTTATTCATAATGTTTATTGAAGTTCTTTATGTCATAAATATATTATATAAATTTACTAGTATATATGTTTGCTTTTATTCGTAAAAAAAGGAATTATTGTATATATTTCTAATGTATTTAGTTCTTTTATGCATTCATTATTTAGAAAATTAAAATTAATTTGTGCTATACTGTTCTCTGAGCTACTTTGAGTATAAATACTTAATCTATTGATACAAAGATACAAATGAGCAATTATTTGTTGTGACATTGTCACAATTCTGGGCTGCAATTTTTATCATTTTTCATTTATTTTATTTAAAATGTATGCTGTCCACTTCAAATTAGTAGTGGCTTGACCATGTACTGTACACCGTATATTTTCCTTTAACAATAGTCATGCCAGTCATCTATTAACTGCTTTCAGGAGAAAAGATTTAAATTAAAATAACGTGACTTCTAATTTGCATCAGAAGTTCTTATAAAGTTAATCGGGGCCACCTGCCCATAAGGTTTCCATATCTGATTTCGAACTTCATCAATTTAACTCCGTTCTCAAGATTCAAGAAAGACAGACATTGGACAGTCAACAGTGGAAATTCTCAAGATTAAAGAAAGACAGACAGATAGACAGACATTGGACAGTCAACAAATCTTTTTTTCAAATTCTGTCTGTCTATAACTTTTTCAAATTGCAGCTCAATTAAATAACAACAAATTATATCAAACAATCTATTACACAGTGTTATCCAAATAATAATTGCATTTGTACAATGCTATGCTTTTTAAATGAATCATTCCAAGATATGTACAGTACAACAATGCACAGAGCAAACAAAAATGTTTTTGTATGCTCTCCAAATTTTAAAACATCCATCCCATTGTTTCCAGAATATAGGATTTTTTTAGAGAATGATGCAACAAAATAATCAGTTTGTTTGCTCATATATGTGAGGTACAGTACAATACAGTAATAACTGCTTATTTTATAATTATTATTACTTTTTTTTTCCGGAGTTTTTCCAAAATATATGTAAAGTCAAAGAACAAGCAGACAGGATAATCATAGCTAATAGCAATAATTTAGTGGCTTCAATACCATAATTAGTAGTTTTCAAAATGATGCAAGTGTGCTTTTGTTTTCAGTTGTAAACAATCGTAAGTAATTTTACAGTTTTATGTCCATCTGCAGAAGTACAGTATATATTGTAAAAAAGGGAGAAAATATAAATTCTCACACAAAAAAAATTTAACAAATTAAGTTGTAAAAAAAAATAAAAGAACAGATTAATGTACTTTCTGTGAAATTTACAATTCCAAAATAAATTTTGAAATCAAATACTGTTTTACAGCTAATTCAGTAAATTTTAAAAATACATTATTTTTAAACTACATAACATTCATGCTATATTACTTATAATAGGTAATTACAACTTAACTGAAATAAAATTGTTATGTAGTCAATATTATATGCTTTATTAACTAATTATAACTTAATTACAGATAATTATAATTTACTTACAAAATTAATTATTATAATAAGAAATGGATGAAAATTGAGATAAAAGTTAATTAAATTTAAGAATATTCTTAAAACCTAGAGTAATTTAAATATAAAAAGGAAAACATGAAAGTAAGTATGGCAATTAACTATCTTAAAAATATGATGCTGATAATTGAGAGTTTAAGACTAGGTATTTTATATGACTTACCTTTAACAATCTTGCACTTAAATAAATACATGCACATGCTATTGTTTCTGGATGATATTTCACAAAAACATTTGTTCTCAGGCTGTCATTCATATAATTCCTATTAAAAAAAAAAAACATTAATTTATATAATTATTGTATTATACAAATGCTATAATTGCATTTGCCATACTCAGTATAACTCTATAAACAATCTATTTTCACATAGTATGTAAAAATAGTAAATTAGCCAAATATTGTGAAGTATTCATAAATCATATTACATGAAAATGAACAGTTATGTTGCTAGGAATAGTTTAAACAAATCTCATTTAGTCTTTGATAATTAACTAAACAAAGTATTAAATAAACCTCACATGAAATCATCTTAGATTTATGAGACTAATTTATTATGAAATAAAACTAAATAGCCAGTTTTAAAACAGAAATTAAATATGATTTTTAAGTTTGTTCTATTAATACATGAATTATTAAAAAATGAAGATGTGTCAAGAAAATGATCAATAAACTTTATAATTTTAAATAAGAACAATTAAAACATTAAACTAAAAACATTATAAAAGTGATAAATTAATTTTAAAAAATATGTAAAAAATTAATTTGTTTTAGCTAAGAAGTAAATCTCTCACAGTACATTAATAGTTAATTAGATCCACTTTCATATATTTTAAACAAAAATAATCTAATTTAAAAGAAAGTTAGGCTGTATCCACAATAATGGGAATTATCCTTCTACAATTTAACTTAAATAAAAAGAGAGTAAAAAATTTATATGAACTATTTTTTTTTTCATTTATGAGCAAAATTTTATTCCTCAATAACAATTTTATTTATTAAATATATATTTTATGTTAAAAATACATGTTACATATTTAATAATATACAGGGTGGTCCAACGAAAACGAAACAGCAGAGTTATCGCGTTCATCCAAGCAAATCGCTCGGACAGGTTGATTTTATTCTCAAGGGAGACATCTTCATCAATTAAGTTTTTGCAATTCTGAATTCTGAATGTTTTTACGATTCTGAAAGTTTTTGTTACTTTATTTGACATAAATGTTTGTTTAGTTAATAAAAAATGAATGAGTTTTTAAAATTTTTTGTTGTCTGTTNATTTAACAAAGGGTTCGCTAACAGAAAATTTTTCCTTAACAATTTTTTTTCGCTCAAATGGTGCATCGGAAGGCTCTAGTTTAGTAGTGTTACAGAGAATAATACGTATATTTTAATATTTTTAAAAGAATCAAAACCATTGAGAAATGTTACATGTGTTTAACAAGGTTCGGAAAACTTTGAAAATGTTAACAACGGGTTCGGCCGAACCTGTGCGAACCCGCTGAATATCACCACTGCTCATACATATCTTCCTTCACTTCTCTCAAGGTGAGAACTTGCTGTGCTGAGATCCTGTTGGTGGATCTGCACTGGTATTTGTATACCACAACATTAGTATTATGGTTAAACCCAATATTCAGACAAAATTAGGTGAAAGAAAATATGATAGCTTGAATAACACAAAAAGGGTTTATACTGAAGTTAAATAATAACACAAAAAGCTAGAATCATAACTAAGAAATATATCAAAACATATTCAGATAGTATAAGTAATTTTACGTAATAAAATTTTAAAAACTGTCTAGGGCATCATGGACACAATATATATATTAATAATACATAAGTAATATATTATATAGATTTCAAATTTACATACTTCTATAATTTCTAATCTGTCTTCTGAATCAAAAAGATTAGCAACCTCTCCAGTATTCAAGAGACTATCAATATCTTCTAAAAATGTCTCATTTGTAATCTGATGATCTGAAATCAGAAAAGTTGTAACAGTCTTTTTTGCTCCAGAATTCTTCAGCATTCTCTGTAAAATAAAGTATGACTCCTTTCATTTTAATATGGTCAATTTCACTGTATAGTAAGCAATATTTAAACTAAATACATAAATGTTAATTTTCATAAATGTTATCTTTAATAATTAGATATTAAATATTGGGTAAAAATAAATAATTTAACAACAAATAAATCATTTTTATTGTTAAATAGTTCACAAAAAATTCTTAATATATCACTGATAATAAAATCAAAATGACAATTTAAATTCACATTATGCCTGTATGCCATAAATTAAATTTGCTAACATTAATTTTTCTTTCCTTATATCTTTCTTTTTCATTTCCTTCTATCTTAAAGCTGTATTTCTTCTTTGCCAATGGGGGATCCACACCAATTCTGAGAAAAACACTAAAACAAATTGTGTATGGTTTTTATATTCATCATATAAAAATTAAATGATTGTGTATACATATAAGAAATATTAAAAAAAAACCTAAAAATTCAAAAATTGAAAGGAAGTAACATTACAAGAAAACTTAACACAAAGGAAACAAAAAATCTCTAATAATGAAAGATTACCAACAAGATCTATACTGTTTGAAACCTTGTTTGAAATCAGTACAAAAATTATGTTAGAGAAGAAATAAATTCTAAATACAGTGGATGATCAGTTAACAAATAGTTCGGACTGCAAACACTTTTGTGAAAGATTTTTATGTTCAGACAACGAATTACTTCACAGAACAAACACAAAAAGAAGTGACGTAAAATAGTGAATACTGATTAGTCTTCTTTGTCTCTAGGTGACAATTCAAAATCTTTAGGAGCTCTAAAAACTTCGACATCGACACTCAACCCAATACTAATCAGAGAGTATTCTTCCGAATTTTGAAACTTTCCCTTGTAATTTTAGCCTTTGTTTACCTTTCTGACAAATAATTTTTTATAGTCTTTGCAACACTGTCGGGCTGGTACTTGCTAAGTTTTGTGTCAGTTTTTATTTATGAAAGGTAAGAGTTTAACTGTCCCATTGGATATTCATTAACGTTTTAATACCAAATTTCAAATTTCATCTGGGCCTCGCATTTCCATAATTTTTTGTGCACTAGTTGATTTCTGTTCTCTGAATTTTTGTAAGTGCTTTTCTGAACTTTTTATTTAAAAAAGAAACTGATAATATTATGGAGCCTCAACAAGAAGTGTCAAAAACTGTGCTCACTGTCAAAATCAAGTAAGAGATAATAGCCAAGATAGAAAGTGGGCACAAGATGTCTGATGTTGCTAGATGAATGGCTTGAACAGGTCTACAGTAGACACAATCGTAGCTATGAAATGATATATCAAGAAGTCTCAAGGTGCTAATGGAATAATGAAAATCACATCTGAAAAATAAAGAGCATTTTAGAGCTCATAATGGAACCTGAAACTGATCTGACGACAGAACTCCAGGGATGTCAGAACAACGATCATCCAAGTGGCATCCAAACCAATGTAAGGTTAATGGGGTTGGGAATCTCTACAATTACAATACTATTAATTACATCCAAAAAATCCTGAAGAGAGAAAAGCAATCAATATTAGACAGATTCTTTAATCACAAATGGAAAACACATGACTAATAAAAATGCAAAACTGTGTATATATGTATTTTTATTACTACACTAGCTGCAAGGACCCGCTTTGCTGGGTTTTTATTTGTATGTAATATAGTTTTTTATATATATATATATAAAAGACTGTTTTTCTAAGTAATCTAGAATCTAGCTGGAAGGACCTGCTTTGCTGGGCAAAAAGTAACAATAGTGAAGATTAAGATAATTATATTATAGCCAATCTTTCCTGTTTTCACAGAATGCAAGAATTAGATCCCCTGTTTCCAGACTAATTAGAGAATTTTTATGTCCAGTCAAACGAACTATTTTCAATTTAATCAATTTTCTAAAAATATGTTCGATTTCCCGCAAAAATGCAAAAAACCGCCTGTAAATCTTGCATGCCACTTTATATTAACACTTCCTTTGTTACTCAACACTTCCATTGTTAACACTTCCACTATCTATATTCCATTGTTAACATTTTCACTATCTAAAATGTTAACACTATCTAAAATTTTGTCAATTTTAGATAATTTTCCTGAGTCACCCAGCAAACACTTAATGATTTGTACCAAAACATCAGTAATTTTTTTTATCATCCAGTATGACTTCATGACTTCAGCCTGTAACCAGGAGTGATTTTAACATTTAAAGTATGTTAACTATAATACTTTTAACCAGAAAATTGAAAAAAATTGATGATGATGATGAATCATTGATAAAAATCTGGAAAAAATGTTAGCATAAAAAAAAATACTCTTGAAAAAATTGAAATAGTATAGAGAGAGGTTATAAGTTAATAACTAATGTAAGAGCTATTTGACAAAAAGTTATTCCTGAATGTACAAGTGAACACTGATAATCAGTGTTCACTTATACATTCAGTTATGGGTTTGTGCTAGGGTTTGGCAAAATTTAGTATTTTGAGTCTTGACAAGTTCAAAACAAAGTCAAGTCTAAATTTCTATGTTTAAATACTATATATACTATTTCCTGTTTATTGAACTTTGTTATCTGTGATATATTCAAACAAAAAATATCTGTGTTTATAAGGAAGTCCAAATAAAATATTTCTGTCTGGTTTAGTTACTCTTTATTTAGGCATATATATTGAGACTTCAAATATTTAGTAAATATAATTAATTAATTAATTAAAATTCTTATCCTGTTTTACAAACATCTCTTTAATTGAAACTACCAAATTATGCAATAAAACTTTTCCAAAACATTTCAAATGTGTCTAAAATGAACCTCTGTTATATGAAACAAGATATCTTAAACAAAAATCATTTGGTTTGGTTGGATAGAATACATCAATACAACACATGAGTGATCTGTAAATGGGAGATGAATTCCAAGAGGACTTCTTACGAGAAACTGACCCCTATTTAGGTGTTAGACATATGAAGAAAACCTGGAAAACTCCGTATGGCCAGCTCATTGGTCAGGCACAAACCTACAACCACTACCAGTGTTCAGTGGTTCTATCGACATAAACAGAAGCAACCCAACTAAATATTTAAAAAGTTTACTATAAATATGTATAATATTTCACTTATAGATTTTTTTATATTTTTTACCCTGTTGCACTAAGAACACCATATTTTCATACCCATCAAGGGTTTAGGTCCACAATGAGGCAGCTGGATAGTGAGGGATG